CAGACGTCATGCTTGAGTCTATCCAGATTCTCTTAGTTGCTATAAGTCTCAATTATGAGATTTAATTTTGGGAGTTGGATGTCAGGATATCTGCATACAACAACCAAAAAGGGTTTATAGCAAATGGGTAGAAACACACCGTATGTAAGTTGTGAAAGTCTATTTCATAGACTTAAGCAAACATCCAGGTTTTGGAACATCAGTTTTGATCAGGTTATCAAAATTTTGTTTTTGAGAGAAACTTGATGAATGATGTGTATTTGTATGTAAAGGATCCAATGGAAGACAGTAGATTTTCTGGTACTTTATGTAGATGATATGCTCCTTATTGGAAACAATGTGGAGGTAATATCAAGCATAAAGAGTTAGCTAAGTTAGTGTTTTGGTATGGAAGTAATGAGGAAGCCAATTATATTCTTGGTATAAAACTCTTATGAGACCAGAAGAATAAGTTGTTGGCATTACTTCAGGCTACTTACATTGACAAAACTCTTGCCAAAATTCAACATGAGAATTCTAAGAGAAGAATTATAAATTCTCAGATGTGGAATTCATCTTCCTAAGGAGTAACCAAAGACTCTTGAGAAGGAAGAATGCATGAGCAGGATATCTTATGCTTTAGCAAAGGTAGTCTCGTGCATATCGTGTTGGGAATTAAACCAGACATCTGTCATGCAGTGGGAATAGTGAGATGGTACCATTCTGGATATAGAGGAACACTAAGATTATTGTTAAGCATGTACTCAAGTATATCTGGAGAACGAGAGATTATATGCTGGTATATTCTAGTGGAAGTCTTGAAAAGCTGAGTTTTCAAAAATTCAGTTATTTCAAGTGGATATTGACTCAAGAAAATCAACCTCGAGCTATGAGTTTTTCACTAAACTCAGATAACATTAGAGGTGGATCTTGCAGACCCAGTTACTAAGAGTTTGCCTGAACTTGTGTTCGAGAGGCATGTTACTTCTTTAGGTCTTAGGAGGATCCCAGACTTGCATTAAGCAAGTGGGAGTTATTGGTTTCATTGTGCTCTTGGAGTAAGACGATGAAACAATAAAATAATTTTCTAAATTTCATAAATAAGGTTTTATTTATTTATTTTGCGCACTATTTACAAACATAAAGGTAAGGATCAAATTATGAAGTATATGATCATATGGATACGTTCATAGAGGACATGATCATAGGTTCTCACAATTGATGAATGGAGTCACAGCCGTTAAATAAAGTTGGGCACTTTATTCAGGCTGCAATATTTTATGAAATGATTTTGTCCGAATCATTGTAAAATATTGGTGTGAATTAACATTCACATTGAAAGGATCAAGGAGAGATTTGATTAAGGTTGTTTTTCTGTCATAAGGTATCAAATCTCCAGTTAACTATAGTTATGTGATTGCTCTTAATCCTGAGTTTATTATAAATAGGTAATCAAATAATTTTCATTCTTTGATTTACCAACGGGTGAGGTTTGATCTATTGACGGCCAATAACTCGGTATTTTGGGAGTGAGATTATTTGATTATCGGTATTTATGATATAAACAACATGGAATTTGTAGGATATGTCCCCTTGATATGTTTCGGTACTTGGATATTAAAGACACTGGCCAGTGCATCTAATCCATTAGAGAAACTATCATAGTCAAAGGAATAAATAATTGATTGAGTTACAGAAAACTTGTCAATCAATTATAGACATTCTACAAAGGGGCGATGCATATTCATGTTATAAAGGTCATTAATCTTGGAGTTCACGTTCGGGTTTTTAGTGGAGTAGCGCCGAATTAGATAATCTTTCAAAGATTATCAGGAGCCTTGATGAGTGACAGATGGTAGATCCCCAGGCTAGCTTGAGACAAGGGATGGGTTGTATAATCAGATGATGATGGCTTATGGGCTACATTGTCTTGGATTTATGAACTCAAGTTTTTGTCCAAAAGAGCAAGTGAGAGATTGTTGGGTTTAGTATGCTCTTTTCACTTAAGCCCAATGGCTTTAGTGAGAGTGAGCCCAAAGTCCAATTCTTAACACATGAAGCTTAGGGTTAGTTTTGGATTGGGCAGGGTATATAAACACATTTTTCTCCCTTGTGCCTCCTAGGGTTACAGACATCAGAAACACACCTAAGAGGCAGACGTTCATCATCTGAACGGTTGCCCACACGACCACCTGATCCCCTTGAGGCATAGCCTGAAAGATCAACCGTAGAGCGGAATTGCGACCGTTCGTGGTGCGTTGCTGCAGATCGTGAGGGTTGAGGAGGAGAACAGAACGTGAGAAATTGTCACGCTTGCTGCTTCATCTCAGGTAATCAAAGCGGTGTTCTTCATTCCTCATCACATCGGTACGATGTGCTTCCGCGTTTCTGATGATATACCTTCACCTATTAATGCTGCATAAAAAAACAAAAACATTAAAAAATATTGTAAAATAACAAAATTATTATATTATAAAATAAATTTAAAATTTGAAAATAAATTAAATGGAAAATTATGTGAACAATTTTTGGTCGCAGACAACTCATTTAATATCACACTTCTTTCTAAATTGAAATTTCCAAATTAATAATAACTCAACTCTTTTGAATTTCGATTTTATGTTTAAATTTGAATTTTTAACTTTGTAATGGTGGAAAAACTTTTGGTGGCAGAAAACTCATTTAATGTCCCATTACTTTTCTTTTGTTGTATATTATGAGTAAAAAAGACCTATACTTTTCTTTTGTTGTATATCCCACTATTTTTTTTGTTAGCCCTATTAATGCTGCATAAAAAAAATTAAAAAATTTTGTAAAATAATAAACTTATTATTGTAAAATAAATTTAAAATTTGGAAATAAATTAAATGGAAAATTATGTGAAATTTTTTTTATGGCAGATAACTCATTTAATATCGCACTTCTTTCTACATTGGAATTTCCAAATTAATAATAACTCAACTCTTTTAAATTTCGAATTTATGTTTAAATTTAAATTTTGAATTTGAATTTTTAACTTTGTAATGGTGGGAAAACTTTTGGTGCAGACAGCTCATTTAATGTCCCACTACTTTTCTTTTGTTGTATATTATGAGTAAAAAAGTCCTCTACTTTTTTGTTGTTGTATATTCCACTACTTTTTGCATATGTAATTGTTAGCCCTATTAATTCTGCATAAAAAAACAAAAACATGAAAAAAAATATTGTAAAATAACAATATTATTATATTATTAAATAAATTCGAAATTTGGAATTAAATTAAATGGAAAATTATGTGAACATTTTTTCGTGGCAGATAACTCATTTAATATCACACTTCTTTCTACATCGGAATTTTCAAATTAATAATAACTCAACTTTTTTAAATTTCAAATTTATGTTTGTATTTAAATTTTGAATTTGAATTTTTAACTTTTTAATGGTGGGAAAATTTTTGGTAACAGACAGCTCATTTAATGTCTCATTACTTTTCTTTTGTTGTATATTATGAGTAAAAAACACCTCTATTTTTCTTTTGTTGTATATTCTACTATTTTTTGCATGAATAATTGTTAGCCCTATTAATACTGCATCAAAAAAATAAAAACATTTAAAAAATATTGTAAAATAACAAAATTAAAATAAATTCGAAATTTGAAAATAAATTAAATTGAAAATTATGTGAACAATTTTTCAACCTATATCAATTTAAAATTCAAATTTTAAAAAAGAAGTGGGATATTAATGCACCTATCTACCACTAATTAATGCTGAACTCTTTTCTTTGAGTCTTTTGATTTTTCGATAAAAAATTCAATGTTTTTCAAAATGAGGGTTAACAATTTCCATGTAAAAAATAGCGGAAATTTAATACAGTTGTCTCTCACTAAAGGATGTTAAATTCTTTTCTCGCTTATATCAACTTCAGATTTCGAATTTTAAAAAAGAAGTAGAATATTAACGCACATGTATGACACTATTTCGAATTTTCTCAAGCGAGCTTAATTTGAAAGCTTTACCTGAAGCGATACAAACCAAAAAGGAGTACAGACAAAATATGATATTGAATAATTAAATTTATTTTATAAAAATAGATTAGGCCAAATGGATGAACTTAATTTAACACCTTTATTTAAAGCGATGTAAGTCACAGGGATATATTATATAAACAAAAGTCACTAATTCTAGCCTATTTTAAAATGAGAGATAAAATTAAAGAATAATTTTTCATTTATAATTTTTACTGAAAATATATTTTTAAATTGCTTATTGGATTGATTTGTCATAGAAACATTTGGGGTATTAAATAAATAAATAAATATTTTATATAAAATATTCATGTTCAATCTGAGTTGTTATCGTAACGTATAACATGGCTTACATAAAATTTCCTTGTAAGGAAAAAATTCCCCTAAAATTTACACATCTACAATGTATAATTGTGTTAATCATTTGGGATTAGATCAAGACGAGTGCTTCGGCCCACTTTAAGGTCCATTTCCTTTTCTTTTTTTAATAACAAATCAACAACAACAAAAATTAACAAATTAACAAGTTTTCATTTTAATTCATATATTAATTAACTAAGATTCAAATTAATTTAATAAATACTTTTTTTAGCAAAACATTAAAAGAAATACCAACAAAAGTTAAGTGCGGTAACAAGTAAATCATTCTTCTTCTTCTTTTTTGGTAAACAATCACTCTTTAAATAAAAGACAAAAGTTCAAAACTTAAATAAACCATTTAATTAGAAAGATTTTCTGATTAATAAATAGCTAGAACTTAAAACAGTATTTACATGACTAGCTTTGCATTAAATACTTATAATAACATATCTACCAAAAAAAAAAAAAATACTTATAATAACACCAATGCCAAAGACCAAAAAATATCAATTTAATCGATAATCTCCTTTTAAAGTATGAATTTTGGAACCGAATTTGACTTTTATTTTTGTTGTCATTTTCCCTTGACTGACTTACTTGTATCCCATAGCCATTAGCCACCATACCAAACATAAATCTTTGGTTTGTCCATCGCTTTGTGCTTGCAGTTCAAACCTCTCCCTCTCTCTTTCTGTGTATCGTGTTTTCTAAGTTTGATTCCAAAACCCTCTTTTGCTCTTCAAGTCTTCTCTCCCCTATTGACCATTTTGATCCTCTTCTTCAACCATAACCATGCCCTCCTCTTCCACACTCCATTTCTGATCCCATACCCACATGGGTCTTTCACCTTTTGCTGCCACAACCTCGGTTTCTTCATTTGATTCTACTCCAAAGTGCAAGGGCAAGTGCAAAATTTTGTTCTTTTGCTACAACTAGAAGTGGGTTTTGGCTGGCTTCTTCAATCAAGGCCATCATAGGTTTTTCATGCTCAAACCTTTTTCTTTTCTTTTTTTAATTTTTAATTTTGTTTTTGACTATTAGTTAATGCCTTGTTATCAAATTGCTGAAGCTGTGTTTGATGTAATTTGTGAATGAGTTTAGAATAATTTTAATGCTTTGTGTTGTATCATTGTATGGTTAGTTGTATTATGATGGCTGCTTCCAAGAAACCCCGCCTTAAAGTTGTGGCTTTGCGCCGTCTGTTATCTGTGGTGTTTATTACTTTATGTGGGGTTTTGCTACTGATATTTCTCCTTGGATCAAATTCAACATCAACCATTGGGGCTCAGGATTTTGACAATGTTGATGATGGTTCTGGATATCATCATGACTTGAAGCTTACAAACTTGCATAGCCTCCCTCAACAGAATGACTTGTCACTTAAATTGGAAAAGCTAAATGGGTTGCCTCCAAGAAACTTGGATTTGTATCCAACTCTTGCCAAGGACCCTATCATTGTTGTTCTGTATGTTCACAACCGGCCTCAGTATCTGAAAGTAGTTGTTAAGAGCCTTTCCCAGGTGGTAGGGATTAATGAGACTTTACTTATTGTTAGTCATGATGGGTACTTTGAGGATATGAACAAGATCATTGATGGTATCAGATTTTGCCAAGTTAAACAGATATATGCTCCCTATTCGCCTCATCTGTTTTCTAATCGGTTTCCTGGGGTCTCGGCTACTGACTGCAAGGACAAAGATAATGCCGAAGAAAAACATTGCGAGGGGAATCCTGATCAGTATGGAAACCACCGCTCACCAAAGATTGTATCGTTGAAGCATCATTGGTGGTGGATGATGAACACTATATGGGATGGATTGAGAGAGACAGGAGAGCATTCTGGACATATTCTTTTCATTGAAGAAGATCACTTCATATTTCCCAATGCATATCGCAATCTGCAGATCCTAACTTCATTGAAGCCTAAAAAATGCCCTAATTGTTATGCTGCTAATTTAGCACCTTCTGATGTGAAGTCAAGAGGTGAAGGTTGGGCGAGTTTAATTGCGGAGAGAATGGGAAATGTTGGTTACTCTTTCAATCGAACTGTTTGGAGGAAAATTCACAATAAAGCTAGAGAATTTTGTTTCTTTGATGACTATAATTGGGATATCACAATGTGGGCAACTGTTTATCCCTCATTTGGTAGTCCTGTTTACTCATTACGAGGTCCTATGACTAGTGCCGTTCACTTTGGGAAATGTGGTTTGCATCAGGGTCAGGGGGAGAATAAGGCTTGCATTGATAATGGCATGGTGAACATTGATGTAGGAGAGCTTGACAGGGTTTCTAATATTGTATCAGATTGGGAAGTCCACATCTTTAAAAACCAGCCTGGTTATAAAGCTGGGTTTAAGGGTTGGGGAGGCTGGGGAGATAATCGAGACCGCCGTTTATGCTTGAGTTTTGCCAACATGTATCACTCCATAGGAACTACATCTCCTTGGTAAGGGCTAAGTTTCTGGCTGTTTCTTCCTCTCTTTTTCTTCTTCTCTCTCTCAATTTTTTTTTTTCTTTTTTTTTGGTTTATTATATCACAGTTTGAGTAGATTAGATTCTTCAATACAGGAATTCATATTAGTCCTTTACAAATGGTGTTAGGGTTCATAATTACTTTGATAACTACCTCGTAATCTTATGTACTGGTTGTAACACTGAATGGATATTCAACTTGGTTATTTCCCCATGAAGGGAGCTTTTGTATTATGTGAACTGATCTCTCTCTCCATGTGCTCTTTCATAAAGCTTAGGGTGTGGGAGACTGCTTTATAGGAGCCTTTGAGACCGTAAATTTTCTTTATTTATGTTTTCCCATGTATGTATCTGTCATTGCAAGAGAAGGCATTAATCTGGTTATGCTACTGGAGAGTATATTTGTTCTGTGATTTGCTGCAAAGATCTCTACTTTTATTTTAACCAAAATATTGGGTCATCACTATTTAAATTTGAATGCAAGAAATAACATATGGATTAAATCATTAATGAAGTTGATGCATAGCTTGTTAATCACTTGTCAACAGTTAAATAAGGCATACGCAGTTCCACTTAAAGGCCTGAAGCTTCAAATTTTGCAGTGAACCCCAAACACTGAAATAGTTCAACATGTATACTAAATTAGATAAACAGAGACGGGTATGCACAAAAATAGCACAATAAATAACAGTACTAAATTTTTTTCCCTGTTTTGGGAAGATAGAGCATTCTTTGTTAGAGAGATCCAGAGCATTCTTTTGGTGTTACATTAAATGATTTCCATAAACCTCGTTACAGAGATTAAAATATAAGCAGTTGAACCAGCTTTTTTTTAAACTTGTTATCTCTTGTCCTATAGGACTATCTCACTTCAAGTTGTCCTATGCATACAAGACATTCATTGCCATTATGGCGAATATACTTTATAGCGAAAATGCATCAAATATGAACTTTGAAATCTTGAAGAGCTAATGCTTAGTAACAGTAAGGACAACCAGCTCTCCTTTTTTGAGTCATCCTTGTTAGAAGTTTTTCTCTAGTTCCCTACCCTCCTTACTAGGGTCCTTTTAGGTCTTCCTCTGTAAGCATACCAAAAAAACTATAGGGTGACCCTTCCAGAGACAACTTAAAGTCAAACCTTGTGTTTCATCTTTCCTAATTTTACGTGTCATGAATTCATGCACCATCCCTCCTGCATACTTGCTTCATCTTTTTATTGCTTTTCATGAGAGACTGAAAATTTATTTAGACAGAGGGATCATATTGAATATAGTGTTTGGAGAAGCAATATGGGTACGCTTAGAAAAAGTCCCCAAGGTAGCTGAAACATTATGATTTGGGGCATCACTTCAGTAAAGGATAAGGATATATCGTAGGAATATCCTATAATTCGATATGTTAGTGGTTTTTTGTGGTCATATTTTTTCCCACTAAGCAGCTTCTTCTAAATATTAAAGCAAGACTCTGGTTATGTGTTGAGATATATAGTCTCATATTGGTTGTATGTGCAACTAATGTGGAGTTCATAAGGTCTTGGGCACTCCCACCCTTTGAGCTAGCTTTTGGGGTGGTGACCTCAAGGTTCTTTACATTATGAATAAATGGGAAAGCTACAACTGTCAACATCTTGGCAAGTATAAATTAAACTAGAGTATAACAGTAGTACACTATTGGTATGACAATGAAAATTTTATAAGTAGAGCATTACTAGCTTTCACCAAGGTCAAGCAAAACAAACTTGAAATCTCCCCTAGGGCATAAAATAGACAAACAAATGGCATACAAGACTATCATGTGGTGAACCTTGCTTACTGTTGCAAATGTTACATTTATCCTGTGCATGGATTCATCAATGTATTGAAAGTAAACATACCTCCAACTCTTCTTCATCAATAAGCTTCCAACCACTCCCCAAAACCCGTAGCAAAGCCAAGTGCTATGACAAAGTAAAACCACAATTTCTCTAACTTATCTTCATCTTCATCTTCATTGCCATGTTGGGAATCATCATCAGGACACTCATTTGGCAGTGGAGATCTACAGAGAAATGGGTTGCCACTATAAATATATGGATCATCAAGGGTTGCCAATTGCTCCTAAAAGGTTGTTGTAGGACAAATTTAAGTGGCTTAACCATGATAAATTGTGCCTGAAAGTTGGTCATGAGAGATGCCAAAAGATTCAAGTGACTCTATGATCCCTATCCTTTTAGGGCTAGTTTGGTATGCGGGATTCTTGGGGATTCTCGGAAAACTGAATTTTTCTAAATTTTTAATTTTAAGATATTATCGTAAACTGAATGTAAAAATCATCTTTTTGAAAATTGAAATTTCCGGATAAAAAAAAAATTCTCCTCTACCAAACGTCCTCTAGGGATTTCTCCTGACAGATGATTGTATGATAGTTTTAAACCTTGCAATGAAGTAAGCAAAGTTATCCCTTCAGGAATAGGGTCTACTCAAATTGTATGTTGTCTACCAGTTTTAGATTTCTGGTATAATCAAGTTCTGTTCCTTTTATGGCCTCTCTGACATCTTGTTCATACCATTCAAAATAGGGAAATACAAGTCTCATGTTGCATGAGACTTGCTATCTCATGCCATAGACTCAAAATATGTGGGACCTACTCTTTAAAAAAAAAGTAAAAAAATAAATAAAAGCTAGCACGACTTTTGATGTATGAGTAGGAGGAGTATGTTATCTCATGTAACATGAGAAAAACATACCCCTTCAAAATACCTAGGATATTTAAGAGGTTGGGTAACAGAAGATTTATTTCCTAAAATCATTCATGTGAGGTTTTCCAATGTAGTGAGGGATTGAGCCCATCAAATTGTTGTTTAAAAGGTCCAATATTTGCAGTGCAGAAAGTTGGCATAGTTGTGAAGGAATTGTTCCATTTAACTTTTTTTTGTCGTAGCCTAAGAATCTGCATGAAGACAACATGTTCCCGGTCCATGAAGGTACAATCCTTGACATTTGGTTCTCTCCAAGATCTAAAGTTAACACATGCTTTAAATGTCTCAAATACGATGGAAACTCCCCTTCAAGACTGTTATTGTTCCAAAAGAGCTTGGAATATAACACCTCATAATTTGTTTGTTGTGCTCATGGATGACATATTTTTCTCATTGAGTCCTTGAGTAGCACTCCAATAAAATGTGCAAGGACATTGTGCACAATGAATTTGGAATTGAAGCAAGTTAGTAACATTGAGCAATATTAACAAGTACGGGTTCAAGTTGTAAGAAGTTTGTTCCCTTTAACAAAAGATTTCTAGTTTGAGCAACGTGAATGATGAAAATAATTTTGGAAGAGTCCCTTCCTATATTAGATATAACGTTGAGAATTGAATTAGTCAAATAATTGATAAACTGGTACATGTATATTAAAAAAAAAAATAGCATTGGAAAATCTATCAATAATGTTTTATTCGTATACATTATGAACAAAATAATATATACTTTTTGAAATATATGAAAACAAAATTCATTTAACTATATTTTTATATTGTTTAATTTTTATAAGATTTTATACAAATAATCAATAAAATATATGATTATATACAAGAATTAAATCGATAAATTTACATTTTATGTAAAGTTATCAAATAATATAAAACCATTTTAAATTACTTGATTTGAAAAATAAAAATAAAAATTACAGAATAGTAAAAAAAGGGGCATAAAGAAGAAAAATTCATTGAGATATTGAGAGCATGTATTCAATCCTCGAGTATCATTTTAGGGAGGGATTTAAAATCTTAATACTGGAACTGCCCTGAACAAGATTATTTCCCGTGTAAGATACCCGTGATTTATCTAAAAAAAAAGAGGGGCCATGAAGAAGAAAAATTCATAAATACCACAAGATGCATTACTAATAAGAAAATGATTTACCATAATAACTAGGGTAATTAAAGTTTGTATATTTGGTAAACAAAAGTTGAAGAATATACAAGCTTTGGTGAAAAGTTAGGTTGCATTTTATTACAATTATTATTATTTTTAAGTTGTGGTACTTTTGATTGGCAAAAAAATTGATATATTGTTTTTTAAATAAAAAATTACGAATTTATGATAGTTTTGAAAATAATTATACATTTATTGCACGATATCACTCCCAATTTGGGCCCGTGTTTTAAAATCTCACCCCGCCCCCGGGTTGACCCGGGTCAACCCTGACCCCTCCCCTTTGAGGGTTGGGGTCACAAGTTGAACCCTATATGCACATCGACCCCTCCGACCCTCAAAACTCGGCCGGGTTTCAGTGACTCCCAGGTCAGAGGAGTCAAAGGGGGTCACTGCATGTTTTTTTTTAAAACAAATTTTCATGAAACAACGTCGTTTTATTAAAAAAATAAAAACAAAAATAAAAATAAAAATACTTGCAAACCTAAATCTAATCATTATCTTCTCTTCCAGCGACCTAGATGTCTTCAATCTTCACCTCGCTGCTGTGAATCTTCTATAAAAGGAAAGAATTTTACCCATTCAAATGAAATTCCTACAGTCGTTGATGGAAAATAAAAACTCATTCTTACTTTCTTTAAATTTTCCTTTGTCAGTGACCTTCTCAAAAGAAGCAGAACCGGGTCAGCATAGTGACCTCGTTAGAATATGAGTTTTGTACTTTGTTATCTTGATACTTTAATTAGGTTGTATAATATTGACTTTTGGTTGTAATTGGTGAATTATGTTAAGTATATTTCAAATCTTTGTTGATTGATGGTTTGTTTTTTAATATTTTCATATAGGATATATATATTTATAATTTTTTAATTTATAAAATCGGGTCAGCGTAGTGACCCCCTGACCCCCCGGTTGAACTCGTGACTCCGTGACCCCTGACCTCGGCTGGGTTGATGGTCGGGCTGGATTTTTAAACACTGATTTGGGCGTCACCAATCACGCCTAAATTGGGCGTCACTCAAAAGGCAATCACGTCTAATTTAGGCATCACTTATCAGGTGTTGACACGTGTCACATATTTTTTCCAAAAAAAAATTAACAATTTAATCGTAAAACTTCTGAAGACCATAACTTTTGACTCGGGTATAATTCTTTTTTCGATTCCACATAACTTTTCGAGATCTACGCAATGATATCTCATTTGACATATTTTATTTCTCCCAAACATAATTTAAATTTGTAAGAATGATATTTTAAGAATGGTTAAACCCAGAAGCCTATGAGTTCTGGGTTTGTGATTTAATATAAAAAAATAAATAAAGATTCGATTTATGATTTAAATTTAAAAAAATTATTTTTATTATAAATAAAATTTTGGTTTGTGATTTAAATTAAAAATAAAAATTATTATTAATAAGGAAAATAAAATAAAGATTTGATTTGTGATTTAAACTCAAAAATCAATTTGAAAAATCTGTATTAATAAAAGAAATAATTAAATAAATATTCTAAATCTCTAAGGAAGAAGAATTTTTTTTTTGAAATTAATGATTAATGCTATAAGTTTCTGGTTTATTATTCGTGGTCTGAAATTAATGATGGCTTATGAATGTTTTTCAAATTTTTCCTTTATTAATACAGAATTTTCAAATTGATTTTTGAGTTTAAATCACAACTCAAATCTTTATTTTGTTTTTCTTATTAATAATAATTTTTATTTTTTATTTAATTTAAATCACAAACCAAATCTTTATCTATTTTTTTTATATTTAATCACAAACCTAGAACTCAGAGGCTTCTGGGTTTAATCGCTCTTATAATATCATTTTTGCAAATTTAAATTGTGTTTGTGAGAAATAAAATATGTCAAATGAGATGTCATTACGTAGATCTCAAAAAGTTATGTGGAATCAAAAAAAGAATTACCTGATTTGGATACCCGAGTCAAAAGTTATGGCCTTCCAAAATTTTACGATTAAATTGTTACTTTTTTTTTGAAAAAAAAAATGTAACACGTGTCAACACCTCGTGAGTGAGGCCTAAATTAGGCGTGATTAGTGATGTCCAAATTGGACGTGATATTGTTCAATAAATGTGTAATTATTTCTAAAACTGTAATAAATGCGTAATTAATTTATTAAAAAATATTAAATTAATTTTTTTGCCACTCTTGATTACATTTTTTTTTGGAAAAAGTTCATCAATGCTCCTTTGATTTGCTTCAGAATCACCTATGTCTCTGTAATTTTTTTTTCTGTCACGTATGCCCTTGTGCTTTGTAAAAAATAAAAAACCATAGGGCATATGTGATAAAAAAATACCCTTTTGCAAACCACAGGGCCATATGTGATAGAAAAAAAATCATAGGAGCATAGGTGATTCTGAAGCAAACCACATCAACTTTTACCGATTTTTTAAAAAAGAAAAGAAAAAGCTTAATTCTTCCCTACAAACCGGTTCACAGCACAGCACATCAGAAGCAAAACGGCGCGTATTCTATTCTGCATCCTTCTCCTCCACCACAACAACCTTGCTCGCTACACTCCTCTTTCTCTCATGTGGAGCGCGAGCAACAAATCGAGATCAATGCCAACGGCACCTCATCCTCACCACCACCAGACTCGGTGCACTCGCACACACCAGATCGGATCCTTACTCATCTTCGTAGCCACCTTCTTCGTCACCAGGCTCTTCGACCGCTCCTTCGCCCCGTGCACCCTCACCGCCGATACGGTGCGCGCGTCGCACCATAACAACTTCATTGCACTCGAATCCCAACTCTCCCTCAAGATCTACGTTTACGAACCCCAAGAAATCAACGGCTTGAACGAACTCATGCACGGAAGGGACGGTAAGATCACAGAAGAAGCTTGCTTGAAAGGCCAGTGGGGCACTCAGGTAATTTCACACTTTATAGTCCTTCACCGCAATTAATTAATTAAATAATTAATTAATTTTAGTATAATCTAAATAATAATTAATTTTGTGGTTGTAGGTGAAAATACACAAGCTACTCTTAAATTCAAGATATCGAACGCGAAAGAAAGAAGAAGCGGATCTGTTCTTTGTTCCATCGTATATTAAATGCGCGCGAATGATGGGTGGTCTTAACGACAAAGAAATTAACCAGACCTATGTTAAAGTAACATTCTTCATTTTTTTTTCTCAATTGGAAATTTGCATTAGCTTTGTTTTTTAATCTTTTTTTTTTTAAATCTGAGCTCAGGTCATTAGCCAAATGCCATATTTTCGCTTATCTGGAGGCCGCAACCACATTTTTGTTTTCCCCAGGTAAAAATGAAAAGAAAAAAAAAAAAAAAACACTGGTGGTAGTAGTTATTTCTTGCATTATGAAAAAGCACGTGGAAATCATGTTTTAAAGTTATTACGTAATGTGTGTGTATGTATTATGCATAATTGAGGTAGAATAGAATAGTATGACATAAGTGTTTGTGTTATAAAATAACTTACGGCAGTATAGTTAGTGAAATTATATGTTTGGTTTTAGATATTGGTAGGATTTCCTATTAAGCTAATATATACTTTGTCAATTCCCTCTATATTTTTTGTTTTTCAGTGGAGCAGGAGCTCATTTGTTCAAATCTTGGGCGACGTATATAAATCGCTCCATTATTCTTACCCCGGAGGTGATTACTTCTCTTCACAGTTTATTAGTTTTGTCTGCTTATCAGAGTCTTACTTAAATGATGTTTGTGAACCCAAACTGCTTGTTTGGTATGACAAATCGTGTCTTTAACAATTTGGGAGATGGAATTATTTACAAATGTAGAACAAAGTGGGGAACAAAGTGATACGATTTGTATTAAGAGGGTAAGGATATTCCTCTTGAAAGAGTATAACTTAGTCATTAGAAAGTTAGTTAGGCGAGGGTTTTGTTTGTATAAAAGGTGTTGTCCTCTATATTAGACAGACGGAATATTTTTTTGACGATTGGCTGAGAGTGCTCGGTGAGTGCCTCTTGGCAAGAGAAGTGTCTCTTGAATGTTCCTTCATCTTTGTTCATCAATAAACAAATATTTTCCTTCCATTTTCAATTTTTCTTTCATTCTTCTTTTTAATTCTGCAAGTCTCAATTTCTAAAGAATTGAGAACCGTAACGCAAAGTAGGAAATGTAATGTATGTGAAACAATGCAGATGTGACAATGAGGGAATGCTTGAACAAACAAATGTGGCAGTTGATATATGCAGACAGCAAATGAACTGTTCATATCAAATTATTTGTTCCCTACTTTATGTTTTCTTTTTTGAGTGTAAATATATATAAAAAAAAAGGGTTTGAACTTATTAAAAGCATTACATGAGTATATTTTTAACCTCCGTTTTCTTATTGGTGGTTTTGATTTAGTTTTTTCTGTTTATTTAATTAACTGAGACAAATTTAACTTTCGCAGTCCTGATTATGGACTTAAAAGGCCTGGAGAATTTGGTTCTAGAATATTGCATTGTCATTTTGCTAGCCATGGTAAATCAGTAAAAAAGAAGCTTTGGAATGATTAAGAAGTTGAGCTGGAATTCCACACCCTTTTGTGGGCACAGATAGTACTAGATCGTTTATATCAATGAGCCAATGGCTGATTTGGGTTGTCCAGGTGTCCTGATGCAGCCTCATCAACCATTGCCTAAAAACATTATCCTTTCATATTCTCCTCTTATATTTTTGTACCTGCGGAGGCATTGCTTAAAAACATGATTCTCTTAAGGGAGTGTTTGGTTCACAGAATGAAAAATCATTCCTGGAATCAACATTGCCAGGGAAGTATGGGAATGTTGATATCAGATTCCTAGAAATGTTGTTATAACTGTTTGCTAAACCTCCATATTTCCATATCTTTGACTCCTGAGGTTCATAATAAAATAATGACTGGATGCATGAAGTCAATACGAGAGGTCTAAAAGTTTGTTCTTTGCCATTTCAACATAGGGAGATCGGACTGATAAAAGAGATACGAGTGCCTTTAATACATGGAAAGATATAATCATTCCAGGTAACGTTGATGACGGTATGACTAAAGCTGGGGCTACTTTGGTCCAGCCTTTACCTTTGTCAAAGCGGAAGTACTTAGCAAATTATTTAGGACGTGCACAAGGAAAAGCTGGCCGAGTTAAGCTAATAGAGCTTTCAAAACAGTTTCCAGATAAGGTATGTCATCTTCTGTGACGAGTTGGTTCTTTGAGTGAAGTTTTCTCATCAGCAGAATGCTATCTTTCAGGGTTGTCTTTTAATTTGTGTTCTTTTAAATTACAAAATTTACCTATCTTTGGTCAACGTGATGCTCAAAGCAAACCTTGTGATGGCTGATAGATACCAATCACCATTTATATGAATCTAATTTAATTGTCAATTGTTAAGTTTTGAAAAAGCTTTATTTCCATTAGATCTTGCAAAGTCATTGAGTTTCCTCAGAGTACATGTTGGTTTCTTTGCTGTGGTATTTCTAAGCAATTTCCCCCACCAAATTTTATTTTAATGGTGGGAGAATTACTTGTTGGTATCATTTATGTGCCATTCAGAATTTTGTATATTTTTCTCTCATGTCCGTTTGTAGTGATGAGTATTTTACTATATACGAAAAAATTTATGCAGCATGTATTGATGGTATAAACAGTTGGAATGTCCAGATTTGAAATTTAGTGGACCAGACAAGTTGGGAAGGAAAGATTACTTTGAACACTTGCGCAATTCCAAGTTTTGCCTCGCTCCACGTGGGGAGTCATCTTGGACCCTTCGCTTCTACGAGTCTTTTTTTGTGGTATGTTTCTTCCCCTTCTCTTAAATATGTGTATCTTTAGACCTATAGATAACCATATTCCATTTAACAGGAATGTGTTCCAGTTATAATATCCGATCAAACAGAATTGCCATTCCAGAATGTCATTGATTACAGCCAGATATCGATAAAATGGCCATCCAGTAGAATAGGTCCTGAACTTTTGCAGTACCTGGAATCTATACCAGGTCAAAATACTCTTCTATTTACCTCCCAGTTACACACACCATCCCCCTCTTGTATCTCTTTGATTTGAATCTTTATTTTCTGTTCTGTGCAGATAAAGAAATAGAAGCAATAATAGCTCGCGGTAGACTAGTTAGGTGCTTATGGGTCTATGCTTCAGATTCAGAACCTTGTTCAGCAATGCGTGGAATTTTGTGGGAACTCCAGAGGAAAGTGAGGCAATTTCACCACTCGGCTGAAACATTTTGGTTGCATAATGGATCTATTGTAAATAGGAACTTAGTTGAATTTTCCAAATGGGAACTCCCTATGCCTTTGCCTTGATAAGATGGGAGGTAGGTTTCTTGTATAAATCATTTATTGGTATAGCTATTTTTCCAATCATAATTTGTTACAAGCTTATATGAGTTATTGTTGATTGTCATCTAATATTATTACACAAAACAAAGGTGGGTCATATCACGGCATGTGAGAGTAATTATTTTTCCTTCCAAATTGGTTGTTTCTTTCATAAAGCTATTACATATTTAATTTACATCTTTGTATGACTAGACCATAAGTAATTTTTTTAATTATATAAATGTGTTTAATGGTATCTACATATATTTTATTTTATTTTTTTGGTAAATAATGATATCTACATTTACTGTGTACGTTAACAAGACTCATTTGTTTTAATTTTAAAACTTGAATTTTGAATCAGTTTATTTTATCCTTATATTCTTCAAATACTTTTTATTGATAATTTCCTAAAAAAAAAAAAAAAGAGAGTAATTTTTAATTTACTAAAATAATAAATTTGTCATATGTTATTTTATTTTGTAGTTCTCTGTAATTCAAAAGTGCTGATCTCGGTTGGTTTTAAATTTTATGTACGCGGTCGCGGAACGACGGTCCTCCGAGGACAATAACCGTCTAATTTTGAATTTTTACCTATTATAGTTTGTCAAAGTTATAATTATATTTTATTGATTATTTATATCAAATCTTATGAGAATTAAATAATATAAAAATGAGAAAGGATATTGTAAGTTGTAACAACCAATTACCGTTACTACCAATCAATTTCATCGTTAGATCGATTATGTTGCTTCAACGGTTATATTTATTTTCATCTTTGTATGGTTATGATTCTTCATATTTAATACTTTATATTTATTTTCACCTTTGTATGGTTATGATTTTTCATATTTAATGCCTTCACATTAAATATGGAGGATCATAACTATACAAAGATGAAAATGTGGATCAACATAATCGATCTAATGGTAAAATTAATTGGTAGTAACACACTAATTGGTAGTTATGATATCCTACTTCTATAAAAATATAGTTAAATAAATTTTTATTTTCATATATTTCAAAATGCAATATTTTGATCTTAATGTATATCAACGAAATATCAAATAATTTTATATTAATGTAATATTTTATAAATATAATTTATATGATAGAAGATTTTAATCCTAGTATAGTTTATGAGATAAAAACAACGAGTACAAAATTATTCAACACGGAGTGGTGGCATAACCTGGGAACTCAGGTTTCCTGAACTTGTGTCAGCGTCAAAATTCCCCTCTACGTCCGTATCTGAGGTGTCACCCAGCGAAATAACACTCTCGGGTTCACCGTCGTCTTCACTGTCCATATCCTCCTTATGCTCATCCTCATCCTCGTCTATTTCCCTCAGTGTTATCTGACTTAAGACAGGTGCAGGTGCAGATAAACCAACCACTCTGTCTTCTTGTCTTTGACTTCTTTCATGCATAGGTGCAGATGAAGATTGACCACAGTCTATTTCAACATATATGTCAATAAAGTTGTGAAATTTTTGGTCCACAATTGCATCTATGACACATTCCACATCTTCATCGTCACATATATCATTACCAATGTAGAATATAGCATCCTTATCAACTGTAGACTCTACCCTGTCGATCATCCGTTGAACGCACTGGCTGCCTTGTAGCCCCAATTTTTGGTGAATACTCCCTTTCAGCTCATTGTACGTAGTGCCCCGTTTGATTTTCAACATTTTCGTTTTTCCTTCAAATTGAACACCGCTGGGGCCTTCATAATGCTTTCCATCATAGTAGATCATTGTAACATACATGTTTGGGTTTGAGCTCATCTTTCACACGAATTTGGGGGTAGGAATCGGATTTTAGGGTTTTGGGTTCGGATTTGGGGGAAACAAATGAGAAAATAAGGGGAATGACAATGATTTCACAATTACTATGATTTAGAGATGGTGGGATGAAATGGAATCGTGATTGGAAGGATCACAGCTGAAAAATAAGAGATAGAGGGGGTACAAAACGAAAATATTGCAAATGAGACCGAGAGAGGGCTGGATATAGGGTTTTCTGCGACTTTTAATCGACTAAATAATGTCCTTAGTCGATTAAAAGTGTTCGAAATGTAGTCGATCAAGGTGAATATGTAGTCGATTAAACTTCGTGATTCATGTTTTCTGAATTTTGACCATTTAGTCGATTAAAAGTGCAAGTTGATCGACTAAATGGGGGCAGGATGGTGGATAATTCTGGGGGAGGGGCAAATTGGTTATTAATTAATTAATGAGGGGCAAAAGGGTCAAAAAGCCTGTCATTCTTAGCGTTTACTTTTAATTTTTAATTTAAATTATTTGATATTTTATATGCAATTTTAATTTTTTTTCCAATTTTAATGTATATTTTTAATTCTCTCTCTCTCTATATATATAGAGTAAATATCCTTTTTCGTCCCTGGAAATTTTCACGAGGCACAATTTAGTCCCTAGGTAAAAAAAAGTCACATTTAAGTGTCTAATTTTTGAAAAAAAGGACACATTTGTCCTTATGTTACATGGAACGTGACGACCCACTTGACGGAGGCCAGCTGGAACGTTAAGTGGCTGAGTCACTAACGTCACAGTCACGTGGAGAGAAAGGAACGATGTCGTATTTGATTCAAAGGCTATTTCAGGTGAGTAGGAAGGGACGACATCGTTTGATGAAGAGAGTCTTGTTGATTCTTTGTTGTTGACTCAGTGAACACAGTCAGACAACAAGTAGTGATTACCATACCTGCCATTTCCTCTGCTCATGAGCTTCTTTTTCGGTGAAGGTTGGTAACCTACGGTGCTTTGTTGGTGTACGTGTCTTCTCTAGTTGCAAGCATTTAGTGTGAAGATCCTTAAAACAACGGTTGTGAGTGTGGTGACTTTCGTGCAAGGTACGTGAGAGAAACCCTTTCTTTATTATCTGTTGTCCCCCTTTCCTTTTTGGTCATTGTCTTTTTGCTTAATGTGGTCCCCCATGTGCGGTTTAAGGCAAGAGATGGTTAGGGTTTTTTTTATGTGGTCCCCTTTGGTAGAATATTTTAGGAACTTGTTGCATGTGGTCCCCCTGTTGTTATTTTAAGTTGCTATGTGCAGTGATTACAAAAAAACTCCCAATTTTTTAGCAATGCAGGCATTGAAAATAACTGTGACTGTTACAGTATTATAGTAATATTGATAATAATTGATTGGTTGTATGATACTGTAAAATAATATTAAGGTAGTGTAAAAAATTATTATGTTCTGTTTTATATGCAGATGGATGAGTATATAATCATAAGATATCATCATGGGGGTGTGTTGGTTAGGAATGATGAAGGGAAGCTGAATTATGTGAATGGGAGAGTGGATGATTTACCAGAAATGGATGCAGACTATGTAAACCTTCGTGACCTTGAAGATCTATTCAAGGGGTATGGTTACCACAAATGTAGGCAGATGTGGTGGTTGAAGCCTGGTGAGAGTGATTTAGAGGTTGGATTGCATCTTCTTGAAAAGGATTCTGATGTTTTGCAAATGGTCAAGGCTGCCTTAAGTAATGGGAACAAAATAGACATATATTTTGATGGTTGCATTGCAGTTCCTGAGATTTTGGCTGGGCCTGCAGATCCAACTCCTCCTGAAAGTGCTGATGAGGAGGGGGTCTTAGGTGATTCAGTTGACAGTTTGTCTGACTTTCATATGACTCATGCTGATGAATATGAAGAGAGGGAGGGCAATGGACTGTCAAGTGATTCATATGACAGTGTAGAAGATGAGCCTTATAAGCCTCTGCCACCGGGTGTTGAAAACGAAACAGATGATGAACTGGATTCAGAGGATGAGCAGAATATGTCCTTTGAAGATCAGGGCTATGGTTACAATTTTGAAGAATTGAAGATTCCTCCTTCAAGTGGGGATGAGGAGGTTGAGAGGGAACTGTTTCCCAAGTTTAATGAGGAGCAGGCCTTTGGTCAAGTACAGCTTGAGCTTGGAATGGAGTTTGGCAGATTGGAGCATTTTAAACAGGGTGTCAAAGACTACAATATAAGTCTTGGGAGGCAATTTGTATGGGTTAAGAATGACAAGGTAAGATCAAGGGCCAAGTGTTCAAATGCTGACTGTGAGTGGATGATATATTGTTCTTGGAGTAACAGATTCAATTGTTTCCAAGTCAAGACATTCAATGACAACCACACCTGCTGCAGAATTTTCAAAAATAAAAGGGCCACCAGGGATTGGGTTGCTGCAAAGTTGGAGAAAAGGCTGGTCACACAGCCCAATATGACAAGAGTCGAGGCTTATGAGCATTTAAAGGAAGAGTACAAGGTCCATGTTCATCTGAAGAAATTAGGGAAGGCACTACACAAAGCCAAGAGAAGAATAGAAGGAAATGAAAAGGAACAATATGGCAAGCGAAGGGACTACCTGGCTGAGCTTCTGAGGAGCAACCCTGGCTCCACTTGCCAGATGCAAGTAATTCCACAACCAGTCCCTAACAGCCCACCAATTTTTTCTAAACTGTATATATGCCTTGATGCCTGTAAGAAAGGATTCAAAGCTGGGTGTAGGCCATTGATTGGCCTGGATGGATGTTTCTTAAAGGTTATTATGGGGGACAACTCTTGAATGCAGTGGGAGAGGATGCAAACAAGAGTTTTTATGTCATTGCTTTTGCAGTTGTTGATAGTGAGACAAAAGAAAATTGGAAGTGGTTTCTGACCTTGTTATAAGAGGACATTGGCAGCCATGTAGTTCATGGATGGAACTTCATTTCGGATCAGCAAAAGGTTTGTCTATTTCAAATTTATTTTCTTTTAATTTCATTTTGTATTGAATTTTCATTGCTGGCCAAGTGTAATTACTTTTGTTGTTGCTGAATATATGAATGCAGGGATTGATACCAGCATTACAGGAGGTCATGCCAGGTGCCCATCACAGGTTTTGTGTGCAGCACGTGTGGAAGAATTTCATTAAGCAATGGAAGGACAAAGCCATTAGGGGAATAGTATGGGAGGCTGCACGATGCACAATTGTGCCCCAATTCCAAAGAACAATGCAGAAATTGAAAGAGTTGAATGAAGATGCTTGGGCATACCTCAACAAGATTGACCCCTCATGCTGGGTGAAGGCCTATTTTAGTCACT